AATATTTTATTATTTCTTGAAAATTTTTACTTTTTTCGGCCAAATATTTTTTGTAGATTTAGATTTTTATTTCCCATGATGTTATTATATTAAATTTTAAATAAAATTATATTATTCTTAATCTTAAATTATGAAATAATTAATGTATGAAATAAGTTAATTAATTGAATTCTTAAATTATGAAATAATTTTATTTGTTTTATTAGCTCAAAAAAGGCTTTATGGTTTATATTTACATAGGGTTATTTATTTTTAATATCCTTTAATAGTCTATCCTTTAATAGCTACTCTGGGTAACTATTATTTCGACCTTCCGCTGGAGGGAGTAATAAATCGAGGAAGGGTAATTATATGAGGTTTGAAATTTCAACGTATTTTAGGGCATTTGTTTGAAGGTAATTATTGTTTCGATATATCGCTGGATGGGGTAATTAAAGGAGGTGGGGTAATTATTTGAGAAATGCGCCTAATAAAGTTTATACGATAGTTAGGTTTATAAAATAAAAATTTGTAGAAAATTTATATTAACATTTATTATTATAAATATTTAACTATACAAAATCGCCATTTAAATACTATTTCAATGTTTATTTTTTATTTTTTGCAATTAATGTATTATGTTTTTATTTTTTCTTTAAAATTTTTTATTTACTTGTCTTTAGAATTAATCTTTTATTTTCTGATTTTTTATGTTTAGAAAATCCAGATATTTTTATTCATAATATTTGTTGCCATTTTTTATACCATATTTGTTTAATTGTTATTTCATTTTCATGTTTCGTTTATAAATAAAAATTTTTATAATGAAGGATCAAGTTTTATTTGTTTTATTTGTTTATTCGTTTTTCATTAGTAATAATATATTGGTTACTATTGTATGAATCATTTAATTTTTACTATTCATGAGACAGTTTGTAATACTAATAGAAAGACATTGTTTGATTAACCTATTTAGGATCCTATGTTGTCATTTTATAGTATAGTCTTTTATTTTTTGATATTTTAAAATTAGAGCTCACAAAATATACACGGAAAATCGCCAAATATGCTAATAAAATACCATAAAAGTCCTAATTATTTAATGAAAATTGCAAACTTTCTTTAAATAAGCACTAGATATGCACATAAAATTGCCTAAATTTATTAAAGTTGAATTTAAGCAATAAACTAAAAATAATTTAATTTTGGTTGAGTATTATAATCTATTTTTAGGCTGTAGATATTAAATTTAGAGGCGGTTCCTAGTTTTAACCTCTGTAAAAATAGCATTTTAGATAATCAAAATTATCCGCATAATATCAAATATTTGATTTTTGAAGCCTATTATAATTATTTAAGTTTTAATAGATATCTTAATCGAGTATTTATTAGCTTTAATTAATTTAAATGAAGGTTAAATGCAAACATTGCCCAGCTTATGTTCATTATAAGAGGGTAAATGTGTTTCTGTTTTTTTATTAAAGTATAATTATTTAGCTAGACATTCATTATAAGCAATGTACCGCTGTTAAGCCTTACTGCTGTAATTTGTGTTTCACTCGATTTGCTTCACTAATTGGTTTAAAACGCCACACAGAAAAATTTCATATTAAAAGATATAAGTGTGTTAAGGATACTTAAAATATTTTTATAAATTTAATTTTTTAGTGGTATAAATTTTATGAATTTTAATTTTATTATATTATATCTTTGGTTTTTTGATATTAAGTTTAATAATCTTTTTTAATCTTTTTCAGCTTTATTTTTAATATATAAAATATTTTTTAAATATTTCTATTTTAAATCTCATTTAATATTTTGTAGCAAAGATAAAACAGTTATTTTATGCTATTAAAAGTTTATTCATCAAAAATTTATTCAGCATAAAACCGTTATTTATGTTATTAAAAATTTATCCATCAATTTATTCACCTTAAAATTGAAATCTGATGGAGAAATTATAAATTTAATATTTTTGGATAGTTTAAGTTGTCCTCTATTTAATGATATAAATTTTGGAATTTTTTCTAAAAATCAATTTATGGCACTTTATTGCAAAAAGTCAGACAAAAAGTTTTGACTTTTTTGTAATTTAGAAAAAATTATTTTTGGATTAATTATGTTTTAGGGAAATTGATGCCTGTTTTAATTTTATTTTCCACAAATCAAAATAAACTGCGAACTTACAAATGAATTCATTAATTTAGCTTTTAACAATGTTGACTATTTTATTTTGACTGTCAAAAGAAGGAACTGAGGCGGGTGCCTTCATTGTGTTATTTTAGTGTAGATATCTATAAATTTGGAGATTTAGTGGGATTTGCATGGAAATTGTTGGACATAATAGGCATTTTTATTAGTATTTTCTGCCTCCTTTTATATCATTCCAAAATTACATGACTGTTAAAGAAAGAAATCTGCCTTCTTGGCTCTCAAAAATTCTCATGAAATTTTTTCGTAATGTATTAATTTATTTTTTATGTTGCCAGAAAATATTTGTTTTATTTTTGCTTTTTAGAAATAGCAGTATTTTTTCATCTGTGTTTTTTTCTTTCGTGGACGACCCTTACTAATTGTCGAGTTTTTTAAATTTTTTCGTTTATTTGTTTATTTTTAGTTCTTTTTATTTGAGAAATAAATTATAATTTCCTTTGTTAGATTTTGTCACCTTTATTTTTACATTAATAGCTATGTACATAATAAGTAAACGGATAAAAATGTCTATAAAAAGTAAACAAAAAATGAATTTATCGAGAAAAATTTTTAAATTTTTACAATTATTATTTTAAAAAATTTTAAAACGTTTATAGTTTTTAATTTTTTATATTTTTAGATGGCTTGAGGACATTTAATAAGATTTCACCCTTTCTATAGGTTTTGATTTTGTGTTAAAAATCTATAAAGATGTTGATTATATTGGTGTTACATTTTTCGTAAAGAAATTAAATTGACAAATACACGGGTTTTATTGTGGTTTTTTTGTAAGAAAAAAGTGGAATAAAACTCGTGTATATACTACTGTTATCTCGAACGAAAATCTTATTGAGAGCCATATCTTCGAAATATTTCATACAAATCTCGCACGAGGTTCACAGTTCGGTCTCTAGTATAAGTGCCCAACAATTTTTAGATTTAATCAACTACTATATTTAAATCTGTTATATTCAAATCCATCACGGCATGATGAGGGTTTTTGATAAAAAAAAACAAATTTCCAAATTTATTAACTTTTTTTGAATAATTTGTTTATTTAAATAAAATTTTTTTATTAAATTGGAAGATAAAATAGAAAAAAATTTTTGTTTATCCCATCACAAAAGAAAGTATAGATTTCACGTTAATACGAATAAAATTAAACAAAAAAGATTTTTAAAAACATATTGTTTAGTATTCCAAAATAATAACAAAATGTTTTTTAATTTAGTTACTGCACTTCCTTTTGATCGTGTAAATTTTAGATATTTTCTCTTACTGGCTCAAAATGTTAATTTTTTTATTGTTTTGTAAAGACAATTTTATTTTTTAAAAGAAAATTTTTTAAAAAAATTAGTTGCTTTTTTATTAAAAGTAAACAGTTATTATCAGACACATCTGCAAGTTTTTAATACATTTTATATAATTTAAAAACTTATTCGTAAACAATTTTTTCCAGATTATCTGTTCAATCATAACTTTATACGTTTAATCAAACTATTATTTTTAAATTGAATATTTTATATTTATGAGAGGAAATATGCCTAATTCAAAATAGGAATTGGATATTCATTATGGGGATAGTTAACTAATTTTCTCATTACACCTTGAGTCTACATATGATCACAAGCTCCAGCAAAAAACTACTGACACATAGTTATTGTATACACCAGGAATGGGACAAGTTACCCGAACACCAAACCTTTTTTGGTACCAAATACCCGAACACCAAAAACTTGCCCCTTCTATGTTGTGTGCAATACCTCTTGGTGAGTAGATCTCTCTCTTTGAGTAGATCTTCCTCTCTCCGACCTCATTCAAATAAGCTAATTCGGAACGCCCTGGTATGTCGCAATCCTCGACATTCTGAAGCGAACCATATCAGGGTCTCCGGATTAAGTTTGTTTACATCCGAATCCAGAACTATGATTTTCAAAAAAATTTTTACTATTAGATCGAATTAATCAAAATATTTTTTTTCTTAAATGAAATTTTTAAAAATTTTCCAGACTTGATTAGTAAACATTTTTAGGTGGTTATGTAAATTATAATTATTGATATTATCTTTAATTTCAAAATGGAATCAAAAGATGATCTACTAATATTTATAGAAGAACTAATAATTTCTACAAAAGCAGTTATTAAGGAAACATTTAATGAAAATATAGATTCAATTGTTAATCAAGTAATTTGTGCTTTATTTTTGTCTAAAGATGCAGTATTTGCCGATTTGAATGGCTCGTTAAAAGAAATTATAATAGGCTTCATTAGATTGGTGTTGGATACTTTACGAGTATTACAAAATGAGGTAAATCAAGCAATTATTTTCTAGTGTATTATCCTTTCTGGAGTTTATTTTGTGGATTTCACAGGCTTCTAGTTTGGCTCCGATACCTAGTTTGGCTCCGTTACCCTTCCTGAAGTCCAGGCTTTTTGAGCCACTTGTTAACGTACATGCATAATAACGACCCTCAAATAATTATCCACGCTCTATTAATTAACTTCCAAGCTGCAGTTTGAAGGAATCTCAGGATAATATTTGAGCACACCCGTTTATTAGAATAGTTTTCCTAAATATATTTTGAAATATCCACAAATTACTGCGTTATAGGATTAGTTTTGGCGTATCTCGATATCCGAATCCTCGGAATTTCTTTGAATTCTTAAGACTTGCCACCTCAAACATTAGATCAATTTAAGGGGTATTAATTAAGGTTGGCGTATTAATCTTCGAAAAAATACGAGATATCTGAAATCGGATCCTGATATCAAAAATTTCCCCTGATCCGCCACTTAGAGTATTAAATAATAAAATATTGTATATTCAGATGGATTTCGCTGCTCCTCTGAAAAACCGAATGAAACCTGTAATAACAACTTTTGTACGAACTATGGCTGATGTACTAATTGTCAATTTGTTTAAGTCTGATGTTTCAAAACACAGGAGATTTTATCTGCTAAAAGAATTTGTTAAAGATATACTAATGGACCTTGTAGTGGATTTGCTTATTTTTGATTTGAAGGTAGGTAAATTGAACAATAATTTTAGTTTTTTGTTGGGTTTTATTTAAATTTTCGGTAATTCTAAGACGTCTCTCATGTATATATACCTAAATACCGTAAATCCTCTAAAATAACCACGGGGGCTATATTTCGGGGCATCTAGAAGGGGTTAATTTAAAGGGAAGAGTGTTATTTTAAAAAGAGAAGAGGGCTATTTTAGAGGATGTGGTTTTTTAGAATAATTAAGTTGAATATTAAGTTATTAAAGTTTTTTTTTGAATATTAAAAGATTTAGCAATTAAGAGGGATTATGAGTGGGAGCAATTAAGGGAATATTTAATTGAAGGATTGTGAGACTAAAAAGAGTTATAGATTTGGAGTATTAAAATGGATAAATAAAAATATGTATGCTCATTTTCAATATTTAGATTGATCACAATTTTCCGTTCTATCTGATTGAGAAGATACAAAATGCATTCAAAAACCTTTTCAAAAACTTAATAACATTTACACTACAAGCTCTAGTAAACTACCTATTAAATGTAGTGCGTCAACGTCGCGCTAGAAAAGAAGGAGTTGGTAAAGTAGAAGGAGATGCTGGTGGAGGAGGAGGAGGTGGGGGTAAAGGTGTTAAAGAAGTTGAAGAAGGACAAGAAGTTGCTATTAATGAAGGAGAGGGAGGAGAAGCTGGTGGTGGTGGTGAAGGAGGGGAAGATGATGGTGGCAACGCTGATGATGATCGTGATTCGGCTTATCATTCTGCCGGTGATTCAGATGATAGTGCAGATAATGAATCGAATGATAAGGTATTATACCAATTATTTTTTGCTGAATACTTTGAATTAAACATAAGTGGGTTGGAACACTCAGAGGTGTCGGAAATTGGAAGAGTTAGAAATCGGAACCGGCTCAAAATTCGGAACTCGGAAATCGGAATTCAAAATTTTTTAGGAAATCTGAAGGAAAAAACGTCGGACATCGGAATTCCGACCCACCTCTGGTGCCAAAATATATCCAACTTTTAAGTTCGCTTCAGGTTGTCTCCGGAATAATATTTTCAATATTTAGACTTGTTTTGATGTTATGCTTGCAAAACATAAAGAAGCGTTTAATGGTTCTGGCAATGTAGTTGGCAAATTAGAAGATATGCTCAAAGATTATGTTAATGTGTTCGAGCAACTAAGAAATTTGCTTAATGATTATAGCACAATGTTTGATGAACTGCTCAACTTTTTTAACAATCTAATGAAGAAACTACTCGAACTTTTCAATGATTTGCTGGTGATACTGCTTAATTATTTGAATAGTATATACGACAATCTAACGGATAATCTAAAAGATGTACTTAGATATTTTATTAAAATGATGCTTACAGAAAAGAAGGTTGAAAAGATGTTAATGGGGATGATTAAAAATTTAATTGATGATCAGCTAAAGAAAGTAACAAAAAAGCCGTTTATAGATTTCAAATTAGCGTTAGAATATGAAGCAAAAGATGTATGTGATGATGATGGGGAAAAATATTTGGCAATTTCTACGAATTTATCGTTAAATGCATCATATAATAAAGCTTCGTCAAATGGTTCAGAAGAGGTAGTAAAGTTAATACATAACCCCATACTTGTATTGCTCGGGTATCCCGATCCCGTGTCACGGATCGGGAAAATTTCCTGAGTTTTAGCCTCCAGACTCCCGAGGCCGTTTCCCGACCTAACTCACGTTTCTCGAATCCCGGTTTTTTCTTCTCCCGAGAATCACTAGCCCCCTACTACGAAGAAATTCGCAGGCCTATTTGGGATAAAAACAGGCATATGCCTAAAAATCCGTGCTCTAATTATTATTTCTGACCATTTTGATCTCTTTTAAAAATAGATATCGTAGTAGACCTTCCATAATTCTTAGCCTTAAAGCTAAAGCATATACTACTAGTATTTCTATTCAAAATTTAGATATCGGAAGAATTCAACATCAAATTTCAGTCACTAATTTAAGAATAAATTTGAAAAAAATGATTTGAACTATTGAATTTGGATTTATTTTAGAAGATATACATTTTATGCTTTAAATGAATTTTTTTCATATTGAAAAATAAAAAGAAACATAGTGGTAAAATGTTAAAAATTTAATTTACTCTCAAGTTTTATTCATGCATTTTTTCGTTTTTTCAAGGTTTTTTGTTTTTCCACTCTAGATTAAGCCCTCGAAAAATTTCCCTTAAATTTAAAAATTTTTGTCAGAGTTATTTTTACACAAAAATAACCATATTTATTCCTTTTTACTGGTTCCTCCATTCAAACATTATCCTTGCACCATCGGAAATTAAAGGTTGCGTGCGCTATATCCAAGCCAAGCCAAAATTAAAAATAATTTTAAGTCATTAAGGATTTATTTTTAATTATTTTATTAAATATTTGTGTAGTGAATAGTTTAACCCTGTCCTTGTATTAATTATTTATTCATTCATATATCCATTCCAATCTTCTTAAAATTATTATAGACCCTATATAGGTGGAAACATGCATCGGCTGTAGAAGGAAATAACCATTCCCAAAGGTGTGAACACTGTTCTAAAAATTTGTTTTTGTTGTTGTTTTGATGTCGCGCAGTAAAGCACATTAATGGGGAAAAATAAAGCAATTGATGAACGAATGCCGATGACCTCCCCTATTTTCTTACAAATTCTTTCCCTATTTCTGGTCAATTTCTACATTCCAGTCTTAAATTGAATAAATTATCCAATAAATTTTTTTTATTTGGGCTAAGAATTTTTAGCAAGAAAAAATAGTTAGCAATACAATACGAATTTCTGTGTTAAAATTGGATTTTAAGCATTAGTCCCATCCTGCTAAGTCATATTTTTATCATGAAAAAGATCTGTCTCTGTTAATTAAATACATAACATGTTTACCGTATTTTCTCAAATATTTTCAACTCTCCTCTAGAGGGCAGTACTTCTAGAGGGGGCAGTACTAATAGAGGGGGCGATACTATTTTTCAACCCTCCTCTAAAGGACAGTAATATTAGAGGGGGCAGTACTATTTGAGAAAACACGGTAATAGAAAATCTTATTGTTCAGATATCATACATAGTAAATCAAGTTATGACCAGATCACAGGTCAATTAACGAAACGAAGGGCTACTGTAGAGTTATACTCTATTTAGCGTGTTGGTTCTTTAACTAAACGATATTCCAGTTAAGTTTTATAAATTCTAACAGATTTTCGGAACTGACTTTAATATCAGAACGTGCTGACATTCATTTTCAGTCAATCTGACATCAACAATACATTCAGAAAAGAACCAGAAGTGAATCAGAAATGACAAAGGTGCCGGAAATCGGAACTGTCTAAAATCGGAAATGGCTTAAATGTCGGAACTCGAAAATCAGCCTAAATTTTCGTAAAACGCAAGTCGAAATTCCGATTCACCTCTCTCAGAGCTTCCAATTGAAAATAACAGGCTTCCACTAATATAAAATCAAAGTCCCACATCTTTACTTGTTTTTTTCTCAATCTCTTCTGACTCATACCTAAATGAGCTTTACTTGTATATTTGCGCACCAGCCGTTTGTCATTTTTACTTTTCCTTCTCTCATTTTACAAAATTTCCAACCCATTCTATTTCCTTCCTTATTTCTCTTATTTCACACATTTGCGCATGCATTTCGTCTTTTTATTGCTTATTTTAGCCTTTTATGTCCTTCAAAAAATCCATTTTTTCCTAAAATAAAACAAAAAAAGAATTGTTATTTAAATAAGAATCAATAATATTATTATTTTTTAAAATATTTTTAGAAAAATTATTAGAAAATTTTCGACCCTATCCTAAAAAGAAGGCGCCTTGAATTTTTTTCATCATTTTTTTCCAACTTTAATATATAATTAATGGTCATTCTTTTCTTCTTCGTTCAACTCCACTCTTTTTACCTGTGGCATATTCAAATGAGACGACAGAAAAATACACTCACGGACAGACAATCACGGCGAAACACGGACAGACAAAGACAGACAAAACACGGACGAGCACGGACAAACATGAACGAGCACGGATGAATACGGACAGACAAAGCACGGACGAACACGCAGACAAAACACGGACAGAAAAAACACGGACGAGTACAGACAGACATAACACGGACGAGCACGGACAGACAAAACACGGACGAACGCGGACGAACACGGACAAACACGGACGAGCACGGATGAATACGGATAGACAAAGCATGGACGAACACGGACAGAAAACACGGACGAGCACGGACAGACGAAACAAGGTTGTGTTTGTCCGTCCGTGTTTTGTCTGTAGTGTATGTGCTTTTCTGTTCAATTGAATATGCCAAAGGTAAAAAGAGTGGAATTGAACGAGGAAGAAAAGACTGACCATTTTTATATATTAAGGTTGGAAAAAAATGATGGAAAAAAAATCAAGGCGCCCTCTTTTTAGGATAGGGCCAAATTTTCAGTATATGTATGTTAAAATAACCACTATAAACTCATTTAAATAATTAAATTAAAATTTTAAGTCTAATTTTGTAGAAAATAATTAACATTTAAAACATTAAAATATTATTATTTAATATCAGTACAATTTATATTAATTTTTCTGCAATTTTATGTAGTAATTGACCTTCCAGAAGTAATATGAAATTACGAAATTTGAAACATCCAAATCAAAAAATTCGAAAAAATCTAGTCCGGCGCGAGGCTATCTTGTAAAGATACCGTAATCTTCTCCTACCCTAGTCAATAATTGAAGGCGTTTCCTAGACCTTGATCCATTAATATACCTATTATCAATATATCCGATGTCTCTATTCATTCAAATCCCTTGATGTATTTATGAGTTGGTACGACAATCTTTATTAAAAATTATTTCAGAATTCCACTTGATCATCTGCCATCTTCTGCGATTTCTCTTTCTTCTATTAATTTATATTAAAATATTTTATAAATATATTTTTAAAATAAGTGCCATAAATTAAATAAAAAAATTTTAATAAATTTTAATAATGCCTAATCAAACATCATCAACGGGTTGGCTAATATGTTTCCTTTTAATCTTAATTATTGCAACAACATCACTTATCTTGGGTTTATTAACACCTAGTTGGCAAATTGTTTATTTGGAAGTAAATTTCGAATACTTAAAATTAAAGCAAATTTAAATTTAAAATCAAAGGAAGGTAGAACAGAACATCACCATGGTCTTTGGTTAGATTGTAAGAGGGATTACTCTTATGATTATGGACGTTCTAAAGAATATTATGCTACTTTACACAGGTTTTAAAAGAAAGTAATGTTGGCTTAGGTTATCACGAGGGGTCATACCAATATAAAAATAATTTCGGGAATTTGGAACCTTAGAGAAATTTTCAATTCACAGTATTTGGAAATTGGGAAGGCAAGATCCATGCTACCTACATTATGTATGTGAGCGTGTTTGTCAGTTCATAAAAGCGTTGATACTCTGTTGGATATTTTATTTCCAGATATCCTATAGATTTCTAGAACCGACAACTCTACTAGGTTTTGTATATCAAAGATAAGTTGAATTGAGAAATATTCGGGATTCCTGGCATTCTTGCCCTATCTTCTGTTTATCTATATTTAACCATAATTTTTTGAATTTCTAGGACCGATAACTCTACGAGGTTATCTATACCAAAGATAGTTCGAATTTAAAAATATTCGGGATCTCGAGAACTCGAACAATTCTTGGCATTCTTGCCTTATCCTCCTGTACATAGATCTATATCTAATCCTAGTTTTTTGGTACTTTTACTTTCTCAAAAGTTAAATTCTCGTTTAATAATTTATTCCCCCTAAATTTGTACCAGAGAGAACACAGATTTTAAATTTTTATAAATTTTAAAGGCATTTTGACCTTGCCCGTCCTTTTGATCAATTTTGGCTAACAGCATTAAATTGCGTTTTTAAATTTGATTACTGGCTAGATGAAAAGGATTGGTATGAACTTGGATATGACGAAAATAGATTGTGGGGGGATGCTTATCAACATCTATTTTTGGGTAGAAAACTTTAATAAATATTCCTTTAAACTTTAAAAAAAAAGGTTGGAAAATAGCAACATTAGTAGCTAATCTTATCTCAACCATCTGTGCTATTTTTGCTATAATTTTTTTAATTTTTGCTTTTTGTCATCGGTAAATTAATTTTAAAAGAATATTTTTAATAAAAAAATTAAAAGTTTATGTACTTGTATAGCAGCTGTTTTAGTTGTAATTTCTGTTCTTTCAAGTATAGCGGGTAATTTACTTTTTTTTATGTTTGCCTCAGATCAAGACAATAATATTATTAAAGAGGAAGAAGGAATTTATGAGGTAATAATTTTTTAAATTAAAATTTAGGAGGTTTCGGATGTTGTTTTTCCAATGAATCCCCAATAAATAGCAATCCCTGATAATCTTTTCTGAACTGAAAAGCCGAGATTTATTCGCCTGTGTTCGGGATATCCAAATATCTTGGTTAGGGTTCTAACCTTTAGTCTGGACATCGGAATTCTTTCAAAAAACACGCGCATCCCTATTCATACAGACTTAATGTAACGATTCCAAAATTAAACGGTTTAGGTAACTTCCCTAAAATGTCCAAATATTAGATTTAATTTTTAATCCTCATATAGTTCTGAATGTACAGCTGTTTTAGTTGTAATCTCTTAATAGGAACAAAGTATTAATTACAGAAGAATTTTAAAAATTCAAATAAAACCCCAAAATTTTCTATTTTAGCAACATTTTGGCTGGTCATTTTGGATATCTTTATTTAGCAATATATTAATGTTAATATGTTCAATAACCGGTTGTATAGCTACAAAAGCTGCATTTGGCAAAAATCGGAGCGAAAAATTTATGAAGATTAAAGTAATTATTTGTGACACATTAAAAGATTCTTCATATACCTAAAACCCATTAAGTGTATATATTCATCAATGTCAGGCAAATTTAGCGTTTGAGGAATCCCGTATGAGGGATTTTTACTAAAAATCATTGCGAGACGTGATCCCTTAAGAGAAATCCCTCAAAATCACTTAAATCAAAAAATTGGGAGCGTGATCCCATCACGAGCCTCTGACTGTATCTTGTCTTACTTTTCACTAGAAACCTTAAAAATATTTTTAAAAAGATGCAAGACTTGGAAGACGATAATTGTGGGGCCCATTTACTTAAAAACTTTTCCGGTACGATTGCCTCTACGGGACAGACTTCGATATGTTCACAACAAGATGTTGGGATTTTAAAATAAAAAAATTTAAAAAATATTTTTTAGCCTAAACGAGATTTTAATAATTCAAGACGGTGTAGATCACCAATATATAAAATAGAATCACAACAATTAAAACAATGGGAAAGAGAATCGATGCATAATATTAAAAATAAAACTAAAACACAGGTATGATATAACGTTATTCCTCAAATCAGAATTGTACCCCTACCCCGAGTGATTTTTCAGATTTATCCCCGACCCGTACTCCGACTTTATTTTGCTCCCCCGACCCGAACCCCGCTCCAGAACAATTGGAAAACCCTGTACCCCAACATACCCGCCCTCGAGCGTCCGGGGTACAACCCTACCTCAATACTAGAACGCTTCCTGCACTTGAACGCCCCTTTAATAGGTGGTGATTGAAAAATAGAAAGTCAGAGCATTCAATTTGAGAATCTTTTTTAAAAAAATCTTTGAAATTTTAAAAATAATTACCCTAAATTTTCTGATAGTCACCCTGGATACTTATTTTTACGAGCTAACGATAGATGTGTTCATTAATTGAAGAATTCTATACATTTAGGGTTTGAAATTAGCCTAAATGAGGATAATTCAAAATTAAGGGAGAGTAATTATTGTTTTAACTTCTCGTTAATAAGATCAACTGTTCGAGAAGTAACTATTCGTGGGAGGGTAACTCAAAGGTCCTTCCTCAAAAAATACTCCTTCGATATGTTTCGAAAATCCTATGCGCCAATATCATCTATTTATGCAGATAAAATATTAACATGTAACCTAATTCTTCTAAAATTTACAGCAACAATCGAGAAATTTGAATAATAAAAGAGAGAGAAATATCTTTGAACCTTCTTTAAACACCCCAACAGATTCTGATGTAGTTTACGAATATGTAGATTGGAATAATTTTGGAGGAGAGAATTTTGTTGATGATAAAAATAAAAAATATAATCTAGATGAAGGTAATAGACATTATGATCCTGTGCCTTTAGCTCCAGAAAATACAACATTCTCTATTGGAAAAGTAAAAAACACATCTTAAATTTACGAAATTTAACCTAAAATTAAATCATAGCCCTTCCTATTTAATTCTGATAATGAATATCTACAACCCAAATCATTAACAATTGATACATCCACAATCTCAACGAGGGCAGGTGGGAGAACAACAACAGATTTATTTTTGACAGATAATGATCTGATAAAAACAAGTATAAATTTTATTTTTTTTAAATAAAACTTGGCTAATAAGGATAAGGAATGTTAGATCCTTCTTATGGAAGTAGCAACATACTCGATTACCGTATTTTCTTAAAAATTAACTCACTGTAAGGTAGTTGAAAAATATAGCCCCACAACTTCTTTGAAATTCTCTCAGTATATTCCCCTGAATTTTGGGAATATTTTTAAATCATTCACGAACTTGTGAATTATTCGAGATTAGGAATATAGAGTTACTAGTTTTTTAATTTTATCAGTTAGAGTATAAATTATAATCTTTGAGTTTTCTAGAAAAATCTCAAGAATGTTTGCGTTCTATATAGAAATTCGCTTAAAATTAATTTTCAAATCCACTAACCTCACAAATTTATTTTAATTTAATTTTAGAATTAATTTAAAATATTTAGGTCCCCCTCAACTTTTGAGCAGAATATCAAAACAAAACCAGTTCGGAAATACCAGCAACTTTAATGTTGACAAACCAGAATTAGTTAAAACACAAAAACCATCACAATTTATTAAAGAATTTAAGGAAAGTGAAAAACGTTTTGCTAAGATACCAAAAGTAACCTTTTCAACACCTCTTCAACAAAATGGGTTGCCAAAACCTGTAAGTTATTCTCTAATATTTTTAAAGAATATATTGGTTCTATCAGAAAATTTTTTAGGAATCACCGATTAGAAAGAGATTTAGTATTATCTTTCTGAACGGCACAGAGGGCCGTTCGAACAACGGCACATGGGGCCGTCGAAGGCACATGGAGCCGTCGAAGGCACATGAGGCCGTTCTTTTTTAGCTTGATCAAATCCAAGCCAGTTTTATATCATTTTTTCCAACGAATAGTAAAGCAGCTGGGCTATAGCTATTTCTCTCCTTTAGCTAGTGCAAAAGGTTAATCGGCGGCCCGGAGCGAACCAGCATCTTCAGTAGACCTGACTGATGTGCGACTACGGCATAGCCTTAGGAATTAAATAGCTATAAGCTTTACAGAATGGATCAAGTCGAATCACTCATTAAAATCATAATATCTAGGTTTACGAAACCGAGGTCTAGACAGTCTTCTAATTAATTATTTTATCAAAAAACATCAGAAATTCATTCTTAGTTTACCCGTTCCCGCTCTTCTCATCGTTTATATTCCCCTTCACAAGCTTCAATACTTACAGACGTTAAACCTATAGTTGATGATCAGAGGATTGGATGGCCTTCAAATGGAATTAAGTAATTTAAAAATACTTTTAAATCATTAAAAATCGTTATTTAGACGTATCCCTTCAGAAATGGATAGGTCAATAGGTTCAAGTCGAGTTGATTCTTTTCTTTTTTCATCAACAATTAAAGAAGGCAATCAACAAAAATTAAAGTATAATTAATTAAATAAAATTAAATTTTGAACAATTTAAAAAATATTTTCAGTGGTTCATTACAACGAAGAAAAGAAGAATGGACGGATGTTTAATTAACTTATAATTTAAATTATAGAAATAATTTTTGTAAAGATCTCTTGTTTTAAAAAATATATACATAAAGTTGTTAGAAAAATTATTTCCTGACACTTTTAGAATTTTTAGAGATTCTAAAGTAATATTGAAGGAAGGGGAGTGAGTGAGGGAGGGATAACCAGTAAGGTTTAACATCTTATGATAATGTTATAGCAGAATGATGAGAAAACCTTTTATTAAGTAACTACATGATTTTAGGGTCAGTATTCTATCCGTTTGTCCTGGAAAAGCTGTTATTATCATGCTTATTGGATCTTTCTTTGGCTGTAAGCCCGTACACGGAACGTCCCGACTTTTTTCTCAAAACGGTTGGCAAATCCGTGGAACTTCTCGTATATCCGAGAATTATATCCAACCCAAATCAACAGAAACTGTCTAAATAACTTCTAAATAACTTATTTTTAGGAATATTTTTTAAATTTTTTACTGTTATTTATTAAAAACTCAATAAAATTTAAATTAAAAAAGTACATTAATGTACATATTTCATTAATCGAAGAAAGAAATTACTAAGATCGAAATTTCGAAACAGTTTGGGTACGAAGCTAAAAATTATAAAGAGCGAAATTACAAATTATTAATTGACGTCTTAAGCCTAGATGAATTTAAATTTTTGGCTATAAGGTAAGGGCAAGCTTTCAAAATTCAATTTAAAAATTAGCGGAAGCGCCTGTAGCACGTCGGGAAGCTTTAACCCGGAACCCAACCCGAAGAAAATTTTAAAACCCAACCCGTCACGACTTTTTTCTCAAACCGACCCATCTCTGATGTAAACATAACATTTCAGAACTATAAAATGGATTTTTAAATTTACATCCTTTAAATTATGTAACTTCTTTTCACATAGGAGTGTTCCAAAATTATAACTGCACTTTTATTTTAAACAGAGGAAAATCCACAACAAATTCACTAAACATACCTAACCATCAATAACAGCAACAGATCCTTCCGATCAACGTAAGATGCTTGTCCACTCCCAGCTGTCGAATAAACTTTTGCTTTAGCTGGAGGAGAAATATTTATAGCCCAACTCAGCTTTACTGTATTTATGTTAAAATGTTTTGAAATGCAATATGCACCTAATTAACTTTTATTAATTATTACCAAATTATACATTAAATAATATTTATTCAATCAATTTAGCCGATAGCTAATAATTACCATCGATAGCTAATTCCGGTTTTTTTATTATGACTTTCATTGAATAATGGCATAAGGTAGAGTGCATAATTTTGAAATTTTAAATTAGCCTATGACAACCCCTCTAGCCTTTGACGGCCCTCAAATTAGCTTATGACAACCCCCCTAGCCTATGACAGCCCTCAAATTAACCTATGACACCCCCCCTAGTCTATGATAGCCCCCAAATTAGCCTATGGCAGCCCTCACGAAATAGGCGGTCCTATCTATCCCATCCTAGTCTTGTATATTTATAGCCAATTTATTTTATATTTTTATTCATTTTGAGTCTTTTTAATTAGAGCAACCGAGTAATTGGGGAAAAACCGAGTTTGAGTAATGCCGAGTTTGAAAACCCTGAGTTCGAGTTCAACTTTTTAGGCCGAGTTCGAGTACGAGTAAATCGAGTAATCGAGTAATTTTTATGAAAAGTTTTTTACCAAAAACAATACTTTAACTCATTATCAGTGCTCAGTATTGGGCATTTGTTAACATTAATACAGGGGATTATCATCCAAATCCCATTTATATTCTTAATCCGCCTATATCCCTCTTAATCCGAAAAAATTCCATGATACGCCCATGATCAATGCTAGCTCCGGGCTCCGGGTGGAAAAACAATGGATAATATTATTTCAAGGGATATATGTGGATTATGCGGATATCGAGTGATAACAGAGGAATTAGATGGATATCAAAGTATTAACGGGATTTGGGCTGATTATAGTGGGATTTGGGTGTATTAAGGGAAAATCTGGGACATATGTGAGATTAATTGGGATATCATTGGATTTTAATTTAAAAATTGGGGCAATGTCTCATTTAAAAATTTTATTATTTTTTAACTTTTTCCTATGTAATTGTTAACTTTTCCTTCTTTACTGCCCAAATTCCTCATAACCCAATTCACCTCACTGCCCAAATCACAGTGAATTCCCCTCGATTTAATCATTCTTAAAAATTTTTGTTCATTTAATTTTAGAAAATCCGAAAAAATGCGCTTATTCGCTTTCGGGGCATTTGCCCTGCTTATAGCATTAGGCGAAGCAAAAGATAAAGGAAAGGCATCTGAGGGATCATCTCGAGGTCTGCCAGGAAATTTAAACGTTTATTTGCCTCCAAACGATGAGGGTTGTACAAGAGAACTTTCGTGTCCGGACAAAATATCGAATCGTTAAAATATGGAATAGGCTAAAAAAGGGTTAAAATCTCGAATCGGGTAAAAATGGGTTTGTGCCCAAAAGCCCTTTCGGGTGGACACACAATTTGTACGGCCTCCGGCTATGGGAGGGACGGACGCTTATAAAGGGAGGACAGAGAACTCAAAAGTTCTCTTAAACTTATAAGCGATGATGACGACGACAGCCTACCCAAAATCCCCAAAAATACACACACCAAAGAAGAAAAGATTTATTTAATTAACAAATAAATTTAGCGGTCCGATAACAGCTCGGGATCCGCGGTGTGAATAAATTGGTGATTAAAATATGTGGTGAAAATGCGAACAAATAATTTAAGTTAGTGCTCCGCTCTCCTGCTCCCAGTTGAAGGGAGAAAAGTTGGTTTAATTGATTGGGTTTAAAGGAATTAGAAAATTATAAGATTTTGAGAGAAGTTGGAAATTGAAAGAAGGATTGAAAGAAGTGATTTTAGGGACAGCCGAGCGCTAACTTGACAGCCAAAAGTAGGCGTGGTTAAACAAAATAAATTGTGGGCGGTAAATAAAAATAGTACGTAAATATAACAATGCGAGAGGAATGGGAAAATAGTGTAGGGCTTATGCCCTTTTGGGCACACTCCCCCCGGCAAAAAACAAAAAAAATGTTTAGCGAGAACGACGTGTATGTCCAAATGCAATGTGTATCGATTTCATCAATCTCTTCGCAGCCCCATCGATAGCCAGTAAGTCATGTTCTTCCTCATTCGTCAACTTGGCTCTCCCAGATTCCACAGAGTGAATTGCATCAGAAATCTGACCGCAAAGTTGACCCGTGGTAGTTCGGACCTTTCGCAAAGTTTCTGTATGTTGATCAGAAACTCCCCAATGTGAACGCCCAGAACCTGAACGGGAATAACGGTCAATGGACTCAACCCGATCTTGCTCACCTAAATTCTTTTCTCTTTCTCCACCATTAGAGCGCCCAGATGAAGAAGAACATTTCCACTGTGCTTGAGCGGGAGTGGTTACCGCAATTTTGTTGACCGCTTCCTTGTGAGTGGCGGTCCCTTCACAAACTCCCCCCGTGGCTGCTGGCGCATTGACCACTGTTTGTTGAGCAGTCAGCTTCTGCGCAAAAGAGAAGAACGCTTCAACGAGGGCTTGATTTTTCTGGTTCTGCCTCTCTTGTTTTAAGCGATCTTTCTCCAATTTAGCCTTGAGATCTGGCATTAAAATGTTCCCTTTATTACTCTCCCCCAATTCAATTTTTCCCTCACCTACAGAAACAACCAATGCATTTTCTTTAGCTGTTGCCGCAGGCAATTCTTTCTTTTCTTGTTGTTTCTCTACCATTTGTTTTCCATCTTGAGAGGCAGAATTAATTTTATTAATTTCTTTATTTTTAATAATTTCCGATGTTGCTTTTAATAAAGTGCTGGTGGTAGAGTTGTCCATTTCTTCTGGTGCCACCGCCATAACTGGTTTATTTCCAATTTCTAAAAGTTGTTCAACATTCATTTCTTTTAAATGTTGTTCCATTTCTTGCTGCTGAGCAGCTGAAGTTGGTGGCCCGAAAACTTCTAGGTAGAGATTTTCCTTTGCTCGTTTTTCCGCTTTGTTGTTGCCGTTGTTAGAAGAATTTCTTTTCATTTCTATAGGCAAGAAATAATTAAAATGAGAGAGAGAAATATCGGGTGAATTAATGCAACAAGCGAGATTTTCATTCACGGAAGCGGTAAAAACCGCGATAAAAAGCAAAATTGAGAGCGCGCGAATCGGGGGTCCTCCTCGCGGAAAGCTAATTTTAAGCTCATTGTTTTCTTTTTCTTTTGCGTGTTCCTCCTCAGTTGATGGGCCTTCTCCTGGTGGTAATTCTGGTGGCGGTGAGCTTGGCGGGGTGAAACCCGTGGCCGCATTTCCTCCAAAACTTGGATCCGGTTCAGTCGGATCGTAAATGATTTGCTCCAACGGAAAGAAGCTCTTGTGGGACTCTCCCACCTTCCAGCACTGGTGTCCAACAACTCTAGCATGTCTTCGGCTCTTTCTTGACGAGCCACGGATTCCCCCCTTAATGATAATGCAGGGGAGGTCCGGGTGTGTCAAGGCCCTTCCTTTATTTCGAAAAAATTGAGCCACGGTTAAATTTGGCTCAACAAGCTCCTCCCTGGCTGCCCGGCTTAAACATGGTTCCTCATCAGGCAAAGGAAGTCCATGGCATCTGAGTTTTTCCCAAAAAAACGTAAGCAGGCCTTCTCCCCTACGGCGTGCTTCATTTCCACACAAGGAGTCGAAAAATATCAGTCCCAGCTCTTTCGGAATATAATCAGCCATACTCTGACCTTTCTCCGGAAGAGTGGGATTATATCCTTTAGCAAGGCAAGCTTGCAGATATTCGTCTCTGGTTTCCCCTGGTTTGCGAGGAGGAACAGCAAAGAAATCGCCTAGCGGCATTATCGCAAAATAAATTAGCCTAAATTTATTTAAATTATTAAAAAATATTTTTGTTGAAATGAGAATGAAAAAACATTTTCTGGGGGAAGTAGATAAACAACTTGAGTTGGGCGGAGTTGTGAACATTGGCCCAAACTCTTCTTTTTTGTACGCTTTGCTATTAAAGCA